TCTGTCCTGTTTGTTCTCAGAACTGCTCCTGGGGCAGTGGAGCAGGTGAGAATTGTGAGTCCCACTTGACAAATGGGGACACAGGCTCAGAGAGGGTGAGTGACTTGCCCAGAGCTGCACAGCAGGTACGACTCCAGGTCCAGTGCTCTCCTGCCTATTCCGGCCTGAGTGTCCCACTCTTCACTCTGCTTTGTTGACACCTTGGGCCTCGCAGGTTCTCGCAACGGTTCTCGCCTTGACCTGCCAGGCACCAGAAGCAGATGGCCCTGGAAATAGCAGTGACTGCCTCAGGGCCAGTGTGTGCAGGGACCCACCCAGGGCTCATGAGGCCACGGAGGTGGGGGCAGCCAACGAGCAGCCTGCCTGCCTCTAGCATTTCCCAGGGATACTACTGGATGCGGATGCTGGCTCCGGCGTCGGAGTGTGTGGATCCGTGCTGGGGCGGGCTCTGGATCCCAGGAGGGGCCCTGGGCCTCCCGGGAATCATGTGTGCCCCCCGAACTGCTGCTGGACGCAAGCAGACCACCTGTGCAGACTTTACCCAGCTCCCCGTCACCAGACACACCTGAAGCAGCTGCTGAGCTCAGTGGCCGCTGTCCCCGTCACCTGGAGGAAAGCTTTTCCCGCCTGGAGGCTGGCTCAGTGTTCCCATCCCTCCCTGAGATGGTCTGAACAACCGGACTGATTTCAGGGTGTTGCTATGGAGGTAAAAGAAGGCAAAGTGTGTAAAGCGCCCAGCCCCAGACCTGCTCGTGTGCAGGGCTTGGGGACAATGTTGGGGGGGACACAAAGTAATCAGACCTGGGTCCAGCCCTCCACCCCTACAGCCCAAGGGGCACTGGCAGGAGCCCAGAGGAGGTTGCCTCACCCTGTCGGGGCTCCTGGGAGCAGGGGCATCCCCGCTGTGTCCGAGCGCGGGGAGCTGTGGACACGTGGACCTGGGCAGCAGCGGGCCAGCGCCCACCTGGACAGGCATCAGGGAACCAGGCGGATCCTCTATTCAAGGCTAGTGGTGTGCACTGAAGGCAGCCGCATCTGCCCCCCGGGTGGGCCTGGCCAAGCTAGGCTGCGGGGAATGGCAGGTGGGGATGGGTGGGGTCAGATCCTAGGGGCTTGAAGTCATCTCAGAGGTCTGGCGAGCTACCCGCGTTTGCTGAGCAAGCCCAGAAGTTCGAGGGGCTTCTTTCTAAACCCAACACCCACTCGTTCTCCTCGGGAGGAGGATGCGCAGGCAGTGCACCGGGGGCTGGCAAATGGCCCCAGGAGCCACTGTCCCCCACCCCCCATGCCCGCACACACTGTGAAGCCCCACGAGGCAGCATCCAGCTCTGTGGGTTGGCACAGTGATGCTCCCAGCCCGTGGGGCTGTCGTGTGAATGACATGAGGTGTGCGTGCAGAGAGCAGGGGCCGTGAAGCCCCCGATCTAAGACCTAACGTCGCCTTCCGTGATTCTCCCCCAAATGCCACTTGCTCCCCGATCACCTCCCCCTTGTCTTCATGGCGAGACAGAGGGTTTGGCTCATTAAAACCAAATAAAAAAGAAATTAGTGGGAGTGGCCACCCTGTGAGTAACTGATGAGTAACTGGGAGTCTGTGCTGGGCATGGGTATGAACGAGGGGACGCCGGGAACTCACACAAAGGATGGAAAGGAGGCTTTCGAGAAATGTCCTCCAAGCGCACAGGCCTCTGTGCCTGTTTACCTGCTTGGGGGCTTCGGGACAGCAGGGCGTGGGAGGCACCAGGTTGAATTTTGGGCAGAGGAGGGTCAGGAGGCAGGTCCCAGGGCCTCCGAGGGAACACCCACACTGTCCTAACTCAGGCAGGGCTTGGTCGTGGGACTGGTAACGCCATCGGCCAGGCCTCTGGGTGTGATTGCGCAATCCTGTGAGCGTTCCACCCCACCTCCCAGGCGCCGAGCTCGGGACGTGCCCTCAGTGAGGCCGGCTCCCACCTGCATTCACCTGCCGACCAGTCGCTGGGCCTCAAGGTTCACAGATCGTCCAAAAGCAGCATTTCCTCCCCAAGGGCCCCCGTCAGTGCCTCTTCTGTCCTCTCTTCTGCCCAAAGTCGCTTAGCTGCAAAGAGACCCTCCCTCGCTTTGGAGAGTTTTGATGCCACTGCCTGGGTTCAGATCCCGTTCCGGCCACTAACCCCTAGTCTGAGAGGCTCCCCTGTGGGCTAGAAAGGAGAAGAGCCTGCCTTGCACGACCGTCTGAGCGCTCGGTGAGAACAGACTCACCGAGCGCCCAGATGCCACTGCCTGGGTTCAGATCCTGCTCCGGCCACTAACCCCTAGTCTGAGGGGCTTACACGTGAGTGTGAGGGTGTCTGGCGCACAGGGAGAGCTGGTGGGTGAGAGCAATGATTTGGGAAGCTCAGCTCTGGGGCCGGCTCTCTCCATCGTTCCCAGAGCCAGAGCAGGCTCGGGCACCAAGTCCACAGCCCTGGCCCCGGCACCAGGACAGAAGGCACCGTGCGCTTCAGGGGATGTCTCCGGCCACCCACAACTGGCTCCCCCAGATCTCGACGGCCTCTTTCCTTCTTACGCTTGAGCTCATACTTCTAGCTCCAGGTCAGCAAACTGTTTCACACCTTGGCACCTTTGGTCCTGCCATGCCCACTGCCAGGAGCGCACACACCGACTGCACACGGCCACAGGCCACACAGACACTCCGCAGACACACGCCATACACGTACACGCTCACACATGCCACACACACACTCATATGCACTTGCAGGGAGTTAACGCTAACCTCTTGTTAAGACTCCCTTTACCTAAAGTGTCACCTCCTCCAGGAAGCCTTCCCTGACTCCGCCCCTCACAGAGGCAGGTGGGGACACCCTTTGAGGTTCCTTGACCCCTGCGCCCCTTCCCGCAGAGCTCTGTGGTCACCTTCTCTCCTGGAACCCCCGACATAGTTTACTGCATGCTCCCCTGCCGTGTGTGCCTCATGCGTCCGTGTGCGTGAGCTTGTCAGCAGGCCAGCAACAGCAGGGAGCTCGGGGACCCGATGCCCTTCCTTTCAGATCACCTGGACCTGACTTGAAGCCAGGGAGGGTGAGCCCCATATTCTCCCTGTGCTTGACCCCGTGTCTGCCTGGGAGCTCCCAGCCAGCCCACCTTGACGTGCCCAGCCGGGGGCTCCTCGGTGCTCCCCAAAGGGCAGCTGTGCTGAGAGACGCTTCTCACAGGAGTGGTGGCAGGGGAGCAGAACCCTATGCTGCGGGTCGGCAGGTCGTGGGGGGTCGTGCACTGACCCCAGGCGGGGTGGGGGGCGGGTGTGGGCAGCAAGCGCCCGGAGAGGGGCAGGGGCTGGACAGGAAGGCTGTGGCAGCCCTGTGTCCTTTGCAGACCCTGGTCTTGCTGGGGAGGAAGGAATGCCCAACACCACTCTCCTTTAGCTCTTCTCAGAGGAGGGACGTTTCCAGGGAGCTCTGGCCTCTCCTTGGCAGCAGAGGTCAACCAAAGCCTCCTCTACACTGGGCCTCCAAGACCAGCAGGTCCTACCCTGGTCCTCAGCCCAGTTGGGAGAAACCCCAGGAAACAGGAACCCCACAGAGGGAGGGCCCCCCCCAGGGGAAACTCCCCCCCAGCAGTCTGGTAGGTGAGGAGGTGGACCCCAGAGCACATATTCAAGGCCGATCACAGGGGGCATGCAGGCAGTGCTTAATGGATGTTCATGGAAAGGACATGACTTGACCTTCAACCCTCTCTCAGTCTGGGGGCGATCACTTTAGCTCCAGTAACGGGGATAGCGGTGGTCACAGGCATGGAGTCTGTGCAAGCACAGGGACCTCACTGATCTGCACGCCCACAGTGCCAGCCGCTCAGGGCCACACAAACCTGCCCGTGGCCCGCAGAGAGCCTCGGAGCTCAGGGGCAAGAGAGGCCAGGCCAGGGAGGCAGGATGCCCAGGGCCCAGCCAGAGCCTGTGGAGAATAAAGATGGATTAGCGCTGGACCCATCCATCTGGGAGGCCATGGGCCCCTATGGAGCCAGGACAGCTCAGCGACAGAGCTAACCAGGTGAACGGGGTCAAGTGCAAAGAGGAGTCAGATCTGTGACTGAGAGAGAGGGGGCAGCCAGGGCCCCGCCTGCTGGCTGGCAGTCTGGAAAGGCTACCTGGAAGAGGCGGCATTGGAACTGGCCTTGGAAGGTCATTAGGATTTGGGAAGGGGAAGGAAATTCCATTAAAAAGACCAGGAGAACCCAGGAGCACATGAGCAGCACCGGAAGGAAAGAGCTGTTGTTTTGGGCAGAGGACGGGGAGAGAGGGATGGGGAAGCCAGCTGGGCTCGGACGGAGGGCCTTCCCTTCCCAGCTCAGGCAGAGGAGAAGCAGTGAAGGTGCAGGGTAGAGGTGCCCAAGCGGCACTGTGGGCCCCCGGGCTGGTGGCAGGGGCGTGAGGGAGCCGGGGAGGACTGGCACCCAAGATCTGGGCAGTTCAGGGGGTCTCTGATCCAGGCAGGGGTGCTGGAAGAGAGGAGAGGCCCAGGGAGCTGGGGCTGAGTGATGGGATGACGGGGTGGTCAGAGACAGGGAGGAGGCAACAAAGAGCCTGGAGTCGGGGCACTCCGAGCTGCGTGGATTCTGCCTGGTTCTCGGCTGGTGGGTGAGTGCGCCACGGAGATCAGCACAAGTGGCTGGTTCTCGAAGAGCAGCACTCAGAGGCGGGCAGAGGGGGCGGGCGGGGCCCAGACCCCACAGGCCTCCTCGCAGGGCCTGCCACGGCTCTCTGCCAAGGTTGGGGAAACTACACCTCTCCAGCCCAGGCTCTTGGGACAGGGAGACAAGGTGACGGTGGTCTCACGTGCTGGTGGCAGGGCTGGGGCACTGTCCTCACCACGGCCCTGCAAGATGGGATCCGTCGGCCCCACGTTGCTGAGTCAGCAGCTCAGAGAGGGCCAGCGCCCAGGCCAGGGGCGCACAGCGGGCCAGCAGCAGGACGGGGCTGAGACCCACGGGGCCTCACGGAGCGCACCCGATCCCCCCCGCAGGGAGCCGTGAGGCCGCCTTCACATATGCCATCACCGCGGCCGGCGTGGCCCACGCCGTCACGGCCGCCTGCAGCCAGGGGAACCTGAGCAACTGCGGGTGTGACCGCGAGAAGCAGGGTTACTACAACCAGGCCGAGGGCTGGAAGTGGGGCGGCTGCTCGGCCGACGTGCGCTACGGCATCGACTTCTCCCGGCGCTTCGTGGACGCCCGTGAGATCAAGAAGAACGCGCGGCGCCTCATGAACCTGCACAACAATGAGGCCGGCAGAAAGGTAGGGCCGCCCCGCGTGGGAGTCGGGGAGCGGTCGGGGCAGGGGGAGCGGCTGTGGCCCCACCTGGGCTCTGCCCCGCACTGAGCCTCTGGGGGGGGGTGCTTGGGGGCTGGGACCCCAGGGCTGTGTGGTTGGGGGCACTGGGCACGACGTCCTGCCTGACCCTCCGGGCAGCTCTAAGTTGCGGGCCTGACTCTTCCCATTCCGGAGGTCTGAAGACTGAGGCTGGGAGTGGGGCTCCGGTCTTCAGCAGCTGGGTGGCAGGGCGGAGGCCAGGGCCGGGGGTGGGGGTGGCCCCTGGGCCACAGTACTGTGTCCCTGCCCTGGTACCAGACGGGTCGTACCAGCACACCGGGAAGGCTTCCTGGAGGAGGCCGCCTGTGGCTTGGATGGCCCCGACAGACTGGAGGTAGGGATGTTCCCAGGAGGCTGGAGCAGCCTGAGGAAGGGTGGAAACTCCAAGCGGGGGGCTCGCGAGGAGCTGCCGGCTTCACACCTGGGGCGGAGCAGTGTGGTGGGGCGATAATGGAGGACGTCCGGGCAGGACCACACTGGGGCAGAAGTCAGGGCGAGCCTGGCCCCATCTCAGGGAGATGAGGGCCCCAGATACTGGGCTGGGAGGAGCGGCCGCCATGGCGGCAAGATGGCCCGAGATAGGGCACCAGCCGAGCGGAACGCCTCTCCAGGTCTGGCTCCCCAGCCCCGGGGGCTGCGCCCAGGGCACCAGGGCCTGCGGGTTTCTGCAGGCATGAGACGGGTGTGCCTGCCCTCTGCCCCAGGGACCACTGCAGAGGCCACCCGTTGCTCACTCATTCACTCAACAAACACTCCCTGCCCCTTCTCTGTGCCAGGCGTTAGCTAGGGCTGGGCAGGGGAGACAAGGAGGAGGGAGACACCGCCCTGGCCGTAGGAGCCCCCACGGCACCAGCCAGGTCCACATGAGGGGTGTAGAGGACATAGCCAGGAGACCCTGGGGGAGGGAGCAGAAGTTTCTGGGGGTGGTGATGTCCAAGCAGAGCCCTGAAGGACACATCGGCGCTGAGAAGAGCCCAGGCTGAAGGAGTAGGCGCTCGGAGCAGGGGCAGGCTGCTCAAGAAGTAAGCAAACGCTGGGACAGGCCTTGAAGGCCAGGCCAAGGGATCGACTTTATCTTGTAGTCGTAAGCAGCCAGTGGTTATTAAATTGTTGGCAAATGGTTGGACGGATGGATGAATAAAAGGAGTGACACAGTCTTTGCCTCTAAGGAGCTCGCAGACAGCCTGTAGGGACAGCCAGATCTCCATCTATACCAGAGGAGGCAGAGGAAGGCAAGGTTCACGTCCCTGGAAGTATGAGGAGGGCTCCCTGGAGGAGGAGGTGCACTGAGCCCTCGACGGGACCACCGCCCCTTGAGCCTCTGCCGTAGCTTAGGTCCCAAGGAGGGGCTTTCCAGCACCCCTGGGAGGAAGGTCTCACTAGCTCCATTTCACGCATGAGGACACGGAGGCTCACAGTGGGCAGCAGAGGCCCTGGTGGCTCCCGAGGCCTGAGCTCTGGTTAGTGCTTGTGGGGAAGTGTCCGAGGAAGTAGCAGAGATGTGGGGAAGGGCGCTCCAGGCAGAGGGACCAGCACAACCGAGGCAGGGCTGGGGGGCTGGGGTGGGTGGGGTGGGGGTGCGACTTGGGTCACATGTGCGGTGCAGTGAGGCTGCTGGCCCAGCTCAGGGGCAGGTGAGGAGGCTGGCGCATGGGACGGGCTTCTTGGTGAAGGGGGCCACGACAGCCACGCTGGATTCTGGCCTCTGGGCCACGGGCGTCATGGCAGGTCCCTCAGGCAGTGATGCTAGTGGCTTGAGGGCCAGGGGGCCTGGGTGTAGGAGGGTCAGCACGTCGGGTTTTGAACCATGAAGCTGGAAACAGAGATGGGGAGTAGGGGAGAGGCAGGTTGTGGGGGAGAGGGCCCGGCAGGGCAGGGAGGCTTCAGGAAAGGGCTCTACAGGGGTCAGCAGCCAGGATTCTGGGGCTAGCACTGTCCCTGCCTGTCTGCAAGTCCTCTTCTGGGCCTCAGTCTGCTCATCCGTACAGTGGACATAATATACCTTGTCCCCTTCCCCCGCTGTCCTTCCCACAGCCCCTGATCCTGAGCTGTGGAGCACACATGTAGCCTGAGCCCTTGGCAAAAGCCACTGGTGGTGGCAGCCGTGACCCTGGGGGGGCAGGGGTCCTTCTGCTCCCAGCAGCTCTGATCATGGTGGTAGCGGTGGGGTGGGGGGCTATGGCTTTTGAGGTTTCCGTAAGAACCGAGTCCGGATCTAACAACTGAGTCTGGATCTTCTTTCTGGTCCCCATCATAGTTTGTCTAGGCTACCTCTGGCCCTCCAGGGCCAGAGTTCAGCAAGTTGGGTGGGAAGCAAGCTCACTGGTGCCACATGAAGTCCCACAGCCTGGAGGGCTCAAAGCAACAGAAATTTAATCTCATAGTTCTGGAGCCAGAAGTCCTAGATCCAGGTGTTAGCAGGGCCGCGCCCTCTGATGGCTCTGGGGGAGGACCCTACCTGCCTTTCGGCGGCTCCAGAGGCTCCTTGGCTTGTGGCCTCATCAGCCTCATCATCGTCTGCCCCCATCTGCACATGGTCTCCAGCTCTGGGCCCAATTTCTCTTCTGTCCCTACAAGGACACGTGTCCTTGGGGTTAGGACACACCCTGATCCTGGATGACCTCATCTCGAGCCTTAATTACACCAGCAAAGACCTATTTCCAAATAAGGTCGCATCCTGAGGTTCCGAGTGGGGAGACATTATTCAGCCCACCACGCCCCCGGTGGGCCAGGGTCAGACAGGCTGAGCAGGAGACCCGCTCACTGCGGGCTTCTGCGGGATCTAGGCCAAGGCCGCCCTGCCTAGCCCTCTTGTGGGCAGCGTGGCCTTTACTGAGCAGCTACCCTGCTGTGTGGTCCCGAGTAGAGGGGCGGCAAGTGCAAGAAGGCGGTGATGCCTGAGCAGCGGATCTCTGCACCGACCGACCCCGTAAGGCAGGAGCCTGCCCAGCTGGGAAGGCCTGGGGGTTGTCGTCAGGAGGGCTCCGGGCTCCTCTCGTGGGTGACAGAGGTCTGAAGCCATCGCTGACAAGGGCCCGAGCACTGGGAGCTCGGGCAGGACCCCCCCTTAGGCGGCCACAGCTCTTACCTGACCTCGTCTAGGCTCCAAGCTGGTCCTGCCCCAGGGGCACATCATTCCTGTTGTCTGGATGAAAACCCAGGGTCCAGGGAGAGGTGACTTATGTCACTGAGAAGTTGCTGGCCACGCTGGGCCCCCACGCAATTGGGGCCACTTGGCCCCCTCTCTCCCTCATGGCCTGGGCTCTTCACTTGGTGCCCATGCCCATCACACTGCGGCCTGGACGAGAGGGTGAAGCCGACGTGGGCCTCACCCCCCCAGGGCCTCACACACCCATGGAGGGTCAGGCCACCACTGAGGGCCCAGAAACAAATGTGTGAGGCATGCCACGGCCCAGGGCGTGTGCCACTTCCCTCCCACCTGCCCGAGGCCACTGCCGGAATGGTGGGTCACGTGGCTTCCGTGGCTGCGACCATCCCCCCACCCCCAGCCTGGCCACAACTGAGCACTGTTCCCAGAGCCTGGGCCACACCCTTATTCCAGAAAGAATACCAGGTTGGCCTTTTCCTGGAGGCCCCCATTCCACCCCCATGTGACCCGGGTCGGGGGAAACCGAGGCCCCACTCCCCTGGGCGAGGCCGGGTCACTCTGCACCCTCCCAGGGTGGTCTCCTGGGGCAGCAGGGCTGGCGCCACCATCGCTGTCACTCTTATCTTGAGGGCGCTGGAGACGGAAACGGCACATTCTTGCATCCTGTGATCACTTCCCAGGACAGGCTCGGTCCCAGGGGACCCAGCCAAGCGAGGATGCGGCTCCCTGCTCTGCAGACAGCTGCCCAATCGGCTTCATCTGCCGATTCTCACCGGCCTGGCCGTGCAGGGTCTGAATGTGCCTGGGCGGGCAGACAGCGGAGCAGGCGGTGGGGGCAGGGCTGCGAGGGCTTGGTGAGGACAGGGAGGTGGGGGCAGGTGGCAGGGCGAGGTGGGGGGCAGCCTGGGCCACCTGGCCTGGACAGCCCTGGCAGGGCTCCGGCCATCACGGCCTATCTGAGGAGGAATCATCTGGGCCAGCAGCCTGGGGTGGGGTGCACTGCCCCCCACGCTGGGGACTCTGAGAGGGGCACCCATCTGGTCAGCTCTTGGCCTGAGGGGCGGACATGGCAGGCAGTACGGCCAGGGCAAGAGAAGCTTCCTGGCCTCGAAGGGCAGGTTGGTGGGGGCAGGGTCTTTCTGGGGAGGGGAGAGTTGAAGCCAAGAGGAACATGGTGTGGGGGTGAGGGAGGGGAGAGGCCGGACAGGAGTGTGAGGAGAGGGGCAGGAAGCAGAGAGGATCTGCTTTCCCCTGGAGGGGGTCCCACCCTTCCCTAGACCCCCAGAGATTTCCGGTCCATGCCCTCAACCCAGACACCCAGTGGCCCCGCAATTCCAGTTTGGAATATTCCTTCCTCCTGACACTGGGGCCCTCTCCTGCTCAGTCCTTCCCTGGTGGACCATAAGCACCCCCCCATCCCAGCCTCCCGGGTCTCCCCCCAAGGACATCATCCACAGAATGCTGGGCCAGGAATCCCCCCCAACCCCAGACCCAGGACGTCAGCCTCAGGGCCCACCCAGCACCCACACGACGCTCACGTGGTCTTGTCTACACTGCACCCTCCTGGAACGTCCTCCTCTCTGCCTAATGAGTAGCTCCTCCTTCTCCATCCACACTCCATGCAGGCACCCCTCCTCCAGGAACCCCCCTTACCATGGCAGGGGGCGGCTCCCAGAGCCCCCGCCTGACGGTTTGCGTAGGCTTCCTCTTCCGTTCCCCATGCTGGACTGTGAGCCCGCGTGGTCCTTGCCCAGGACCAGAGGCCCGTGAGGGTAGGGCAGGGAAAGTGATCGGGATAGGGGTTGGCCCTGTGGGATATTCCTCTCATTCATTCATTCATTCATTCACTGTGGGGCTCCTAGTCTGGGCCAGGGCTGGGGTTCTGGCCCAGGAGGCAGGGGGTGGCCAAGTTCCCTCAGGGCTGGGCTGCCCAAGTGAGGCCAGCAGAGCCGGGACAGCTGACAAATGGCCCTTCTTCAGCTGTGGGGCGGCAGCTAATGATTCCCCATCTTTAATCAGGCCGGCTGGCAGGGCCCTTTCGATCCAGGTAAATGAGTACCTGGGGTCAGGGCTGGCTCTGGGAATCGGCCTTCCGGGACCACGGAGGGAGGCCCAAGGAAAACACACGGCTGCGCCCATCGTGGGCCCTCGGGGAGCTGGGAAGAAAGAACAACACTGTCGGGGGCTGGCTTCCCAGCAGGTGGCACGCCTGGGCCTCGCTGACCCGTGCCCTCACCTCCTGCTCATCCACCCCCTCCCATCCTTCAGCAGACGCGCACAGAGCTCCAGGCAAATACCACACTTTCACTGAACAGCCATTTATTAAGCACCAACTACATGCTGGGCCCTACCCTGGGCATGAGGGCAGGGAGTACAGAGATGGAGAGGTGGGGATCTGCAATTAATAAGCACCTACTGTAGCTGGGCCGGGATCACCATCAGGCACCTCCTCCCCACCTGGCTGGGTGCAAGCCCCATGCTCCCGAGCCTCAGTTTCCCCATCAGCGCATTGACCTGAAGGATTGTGAGAATTCAGTGAACCACATTTGATAAACATATACTGTGCTCTGCCAAGTCCTGGGCATTCTCATTGGACCCTCACAAGGTCCCCTGCAGTTGGGACCTACGGTCAGCAGCCCCATTACATGGATGAGGAGAGGGAAGCTCAGGAGGGGGAGGCACTCAGGCGTGGTCCTGCAGCGGGAAGTCGGGGTGCCGGCTCGGGGCCAGGCTGGAGGCAAGGGCAGGTGGGGGTGGGGTGCCCAGGCGGTTGGCGGGGGTGGGGGGGTCCATGCACACCGAGCTCCTGCCCTGTCGCCCGCAGGTCCTGGAGGAGCGCATGAAGCTGGAGTGCAAGTGCCACGGCGTGTCGGGCTCGTGCACCACCAAGACGTGCTGGACCACGCTGCCCAAGTTCCGCGAGGTGGGCCACATGCTCAAGGAGAAGTACAACGCGGCCGTGCAGGTGGAGGTGGTGCGGGCCAGCCGCCTGCGGCAGCCCACCTTCCTGCGCATCAAGCAGCTGCGCAGCTACCAGAAGCCCATGGAGACGGACCTGGTGTACATTGAGAAGTCGCCCAACTACTGCGAGGAGGACGCGGCCACGGGCAGCGTGGGCACGCAGGGCCGCCTGTGCAACCGCACGTCGCTGGGCGCGGACGGCTGCGACACCATGTGCTGCGGCCGTGGCTACAACACGCACCAGTACACCAAGGTGTGGCAGTGCAACTGCAAGTTCCACTGGTGCTGCTTCGTCAAGTGCAACACCTGCAGCGAGCGCACTGAGGTCTTCACGTGCAAGTGAGCGCCGCGCCCGCACCGCCCGCACCGCCCGCCCGCGCACGCGCACACCGCGCCGGGCGCCCCTCGCCGCCCCCAGGGGCTCCTCCCGACCCCGCTCGGCACTTCCTGTGGCCGAGCCGTGCCCCAGACCCGGCCGAGAGGGCGAGGCCGACGGCCCTGGTGTCCCTCTGGGGCCCAGGGAGTTCCTCTGCCTTTCTCTGGGGAAGCGAACCCTCCTGGAAAGCAGAGTGACCGAGACTCCGAGCGTCCCCCTCCCCCACCTGGCGGCCCGGACCGACGGGCAGACGGACGGACGGCCGTGGAAATGCCATGCCGGCCGGCCGACGCCACGCGGGACCCCATCAGCCGCCGGGGCCTCTGGGTGGTCTGGGCAGATGTTGACAAAGTTTATTTATGTGTTCTTAGTATCAGAAAAGAATTCTTAGCACTAAGGCATAGCCAGTCCTAACTCTGTACTCCGTGTTAGCGCATCCCCTGCGGCCCTCTGCTTCCTCTCCCCGCCTCTCTGGCCCGGGGGAGCATCCCCGTGCACAGCACCCTCTGGCCCTGCCCCGAGAGGGCCTCTGAGGAGAGCCATGGACAGGGACCTTTCTTCTGGAACATCATATCACACAAATCAAAATGTCACCCACGTCAGGCTCCAGGAGTGCTGTGTCCCCTCCCCGATGCTGTCACCCGCCCAGCGCCCCCCGCCGGCCTGGCAGCGTCAGTTTACAGAGCCCCCTCCCCGCCCTTCCTCGCCCTCCCCTCCGCCCCTCGCGGGGAGCCAGCCGGAACCCTCGGACAGCCCTGCGCTGGCAGTGGGATGGCGGGGTGGGGACGGTTCAGGGGTGCCTTCCTTCTTTGACAGATGCAGACGCTGAGGCCCAGAAGGGCTCGAGAATGAGCCAGAGACCCTAAAGTCATGACCCTGGGCTGCGTGCCCTGGGGACACCCGTGGTGGCATGAGACTGCCCCCATGATTTGAGAGATCTGGCTGTGCCCCTCCTCCCCTGCTGTCAGCTGCACGGGGACCTGCACCCCCAAAGGTACCTGCCGGGGTTTCTCTAGTGGCCTCCTGTCCAGTCCTCCTCCTTGGGCCCTGACTCCGATGCTGGGAAAGCTCGGACCCAGGGTGTCACTTGGCCAGGGCCCCGCCTGCTGTCCCGGCAGGTGTCTGCCCTCCAGACCCTCCCAGGGTGCACACCCTCCCCTGAAGTTCAGCTCACCCTGAAACTTGAGAAGGGGCCCCCGCTCAGTTCTCAACCGTGCATGCTGTGGGGAGAGGCCAGAGCCTTGGGACTTGGGGCTGAGGTGTCCTCTGTGAGCATTCCACTGTCCCTCGGGGAGTCTGAGGCATCGAGGGGGTGACTTGCCGGCAAGGAGGCAAGGTGGCTTCTGGTGTGCTGCCCTCCACTGCCCGTGTGCCCACCCCCTGCCCCAGATTTAGGGTATTTTCTTGCAGAAACCTGTGGAAATGTGTCCTCAGGCAGCTGACAAGCCAAGTGGGCTAGACATTAGCCTGGGGTGAGTGACCCTGTCCGGGCCCTGGCCCTGCCATCTACCCCATGTGCCCCCGACGGTGCCAGGACACTCCATCAGCTGCTGTTCCGGGGACTTCCAGGCCACGGTGAATGACCCGCCCCCGGCCCCCCCACCTCCCCGGGTCCCAGGACACTCTGAGTCCACAGGCCTGGCGCCCTCTGCCAAGGAACCTGGTTAACTTATATTGTTTATAGCGTTGAAATGTCTATCATGTCTTTTAAATTATTGTGACCTACACTGGGTACTGGAGGGAGGGGACAGCCTTGTGCGTCCCCCGAGCCAGGCTCCTCCTTCTGCTTGAAACGGACTCTCGGGACCCCTGATGCCGTTGACAAGCGCACTGTCCAGGCGCCTCTGCCGAGACCCTCCAGGCCCCATAGTCTGTCAGCGGCAGCCCCTCCCTTGGGGGAGAGGGGGTCAATGCGGCCCAGGCGGGGCGGTGGCGGTCAGGGCCCCGTGTGTCCCTGTGGTGCTCCCACTTGAGGAGAGCTGGTGGGTGTCGGATGGGCTGTGTCCCGCCTTCCCTGGAGGGGAGCGCCCGGCTCCAATAAAGCTGGAAACAGAAGTGAGTGTGTGTGGAACCCATACGACGCCGTTGCAGCTCTTTCCCCCTGGGGGGGGGGCGTGCGTGCTGTCCACGGGGGACCCTGAGTCTCAAGCCCCTTGGCCCTCAGGTGGCCCACCTTTCTGACTTCCTTGCCTCTCTCTGCAGGCTGGGCAGGCTCTGCGCCCATGTACCTCCGTCCTCCCACCTTGCCCAGGTCCCAAGGGAGGCCTTGAGCCACAGAGGCCTCCAGGCACATTTGGGGGCCGCCCCACCCAGCGAGGGCCACTGCTGGTGGCTGGACACAGACCCGGAGGCCTCTCTGGACAGCCTGGGCTCAGGGTATGGGGAGAAGAGGCCACGGGTCTGGTGCCAGAATCAACTGACGGGGCTGGGTGGGGACTGTTCTCAGGAGAATGGGGGGCTTGGAGGTGGGGGACCCGCAGCCAGGAGGCCCTGGTTCCATCTGTTTCCCTCTGTGTCTCCCTTCTGCTTTGGACCCCGACTGGTCTTAGGATCCCTACGGGTCCATCAGTTGTGTCTGGTGGGTTTTGGCTCAAGTGCCCCCCTTGGGGTGCTCTTAGCCCTCTCCAGGCGTGGGAAGACAGCCCGAGGCCCCTGGGAGCTAGGCAGCCCCTGGCTGGCCACCAGGCCCTGCTGTTTCTCCCTAGAGGCCCGGGTGCCGCCAGGCCTCCGCACTTGTGGTAACCGTGTGAGCACAGGATGAATGGCATTCCTGCCGAGGGCTGGAAGGCATGCGGCGGGGCCGGTTTGGCCACTGCCCGCTGTCCCGGCAGCCTGGCATCGGGCGGAACCGCTGATCCAACAAGGCCCCGTCCACACTGTGCCCGCCGGGGCACCCACGGAGCCTGGCCCCAGACCCAGATCCCAGTGGAGGGGCCACCCAGTGGGCTTCTGGAGGAGCACGTGTCCGCGGAGGGTGTGGAGACGGGGAGACAGATGCAAAAATCCCTGGACTTGAAGCCGAAGCCCATTCCCTTCTGACACCCGGGCATGGACAGCCACTAGGGTGGCCCTACCCGATATATGGCCTCAGTTTCCCCATCTGAGAGCAGGAGGTGGCCCAGGCCAGCACTCGGTGGTTAATGGGGCCCGTGGGGCTGGGGCCTGGGCTGGGCAGTTTGGCAGGAGGCCCCGGTTCCCTGCGAGACGGTAAGCAAATCCGCGGCGGTGGCTGCAGCAGAACGCCGGGGTCCGGCTACTCCCACAGGGCCAGGAATGAGGAAAGAGCTTCGAGAATGCCACGGCCCCGGTGCCCAGACTGTACTTACTTCTTGGCCATGGTTCAACCCCAGCCCCGGCCTCCCAGGGCCGCCCGGCACATCCTCCGAGGGGCCCTGTCTGAGGCATCGAGCTCACACGGCCCAGCCTGCCTGGGGACCCACCTGACCCCCAGCCCCGGGCTCTGCCTCTGAGGCTAAGATTTCAGGAGCATCCCCAGGCAGCCTCCAGCCCCCACAGTGGCTCGTTCCCATCCGAGTGGCGTCCCTGTCCCCTTGGCTCTGGTCGCCTTGCACTTAGCTGGCCCCGGGCATGCCAGGCGCCTTCCTGCCTCTCCGCATTTGCCAGGGGCGCTCCTTCTCCAGACTTGCCTTCCCGCTGTGCTCCAAGAGGCAGTCACCAAGCAGGTGTCGGATGTGGGCAGGCTACCAGGCTTTCATTCATTTCTTGCTCATTCGCTTGTTCTGTGGCGCTGGAGGCTGGGCCCCGGGTTGGGCCCCGGGAACAGTGAGGGCTCATGCCTGGCCTTGACCTCCAGGGGCTCTGGCTCTTCACTTGGCTCCCCTGCCCTGAGCAGCCACCTATTCTCAGGTGCAGCTGCTGGCTGAGACAGCCTGAATGACAGGAAAAGGCTTTGGGTGGGTGCTTGCACAGCTCTGGGCCTCAGTTTTCCTCTCTAGAATGGGTATAGGAGAGCAAGAAATGCCCGGCCAGGCCCGGCTCCCTCTTTCTCTGCGTGGAGGGTGCCCCTGCCCACACTTCGCTCACGAGCTGAGCTTTAGCACCAGGACCACTTCCCACCTGCCCCCCCCGCCCAGGGCTGCCCAGGCTGTCCACCCAGATGCTGTCTGTGGTGGGAGCTCACAGGGTCCCGTGGCCCTGGTAGGTAGAGGTTTGCTCCTTGGTGTGGCCTTCAGAGTCCATCTCCTACAGCCCATCTCCACCCTGCCTCCATACAGAGCCCCCTGCCCTGCTGGCAAGCCAGCCCTCCCCAGAGCTCCCCATGGAGCTCCACACCACCTCCTGCCCCTGCCCAGGCTCCATCCCTGCTGTGCCCTCCCACCGGGATGGCCTTTCTACCACATTCCTTGCCCACACCCCTCCTTCCCATAATGCCCACCTTCCCAGCAAGCTTGCCGGGGCCCTGCTCTCTCCTTCACCCTCCATCCCAGTTTTTACCCTGACAGAGAGGGGTGTCGCTGCCATGACTGTCCCTGCACCCAGCAGGCCTAGGGGCCTTAGAAGTGAGAGGCTTTATGGAACCCTGAACACTCCCACTATGCCAGACACGGGGTCTGGTTCACAGGGACCCACCACCTTCACAATACCCCTTCCCTACACAGGTCAGGGCTAGCTCCATTTTACAGATGGGAAAACCCAGGCACAGAGAACAAAAGCGTTCTGCCCAAGGTCACACATAGCCGGCAGACGCAGAATCAGGATTTGAACTCCTGTCCTCCAGGGTCTTCCTTCTACCCAACTCATATGCCTCCTCCCATGAGAGGAAACTGAGGCCCTGGGATCTTGCCCAAGGCTGTACAGAGACGAGCGGGAAGGGAATGGCTGAGGCAAGTCCTGGGGAGGAGGTGATGGCCGTGCTCTGTCTTGGCCGAGGACAGAACTGGAAAGACCAGGTTGAAGGCAGCAGGCAGGACCTGGGTTACACGTCTGGGTGAACCTCACACCTCCCCG